CAGGTTTTAGGAGACTGAAAACCTCACATGACAGGAATGATAGCTTTCACAAGATTTTGCTAGCAAAGGGATTTTCCCTCATGGTCCTCTGAGTTACAAGTGAACTATAGAATTCTAAAATTCATCACAATCATTTCCTATGAAAGCACTTTCAGAAGAAAATATATCTAATTAAATTCTTTAGCTTTGATTATCATTTCTCATTATTGGCAAGCCTCAGCTATTAATAAATGTTAATGTAGTGGCCTTTACAGCCTATGGTTTGTTGTTTTTTTTTTAAGATTTATTTATTTGTGCATACAGAACTGGGGTACAGGCCAGAGGCTCAGGGACAGCGAGAGGCCTCACCAGAGACAGAGTGGGGAGCAGAACAGGCAGATCGATGAAGTGCACTGCTGAGGGGAGCAGTGGGTGGGTCAGGAGAGGTCTGCCACACCATATGGTCACCTCCGGGACAGGCAGGAATCGAACTCATGCGGAAGTGGCTTTAGCTTTTCAGTGCTCTATTTTAACCCTCTGTGCCACCAGGGAGGGTCCACAGTGTATGGTTTTTAACCCAAAGATTGTTCCTCTGGTTGTTTTGGAATATGATTATAAAGTATTTTCACATTTGATTCAGTCACTTTTTATTGAGCCAGAGTGGAGGATATGACATGATCAGTTACACTCTTGAAATGAAATTCTTAACAATGTAAAAACTCTTTATTGTATTTTAGTTGAGGTATCATTGTTTTTACAATAATGAAGGTGATTTTATACCATTTTGAGTGAACTTTATGTATGGTGAGAAATACGAGTTGCTGTCCAATTTTCCCGACACTACTTTTTGAAGGAACTTTCCTTTCTCTCTGTCACATATGTTTGGCTATTCTTAATTTTAATATCTACACAAGTGTGGGTTTATTTCTGACTCTCAGTTTCATTCCTGGTTTATATATTTATTTTTATTCCAATATCATGATTTGTTTCCTAAAGCTTCTAGTATCTTATCTTTTTTGTAAAGAGTGGTTTGACTCTTCAAGGTCTTAGGTCTTTCCATTTAATGCTAATATCATTAACTCCATTTATTTACTCCATACATTTATTCCATTGACATTTTGATTAGCAATTTCATTGAACCTGTATGTTGCTTTGAGTAAGATGGACATGTTTACAATGCTATTTCTTCCAATCCATGAGTGTGGAATGTCTTTCCATATCCTTAATCGCCTTCTTCTTCTTTTTACAGTATTTTATAATTTTCATTGAATAGGTCTCTATTTGTGTTATTAATTTATTTCTAGATATTGAATACATTTTGATGTCATAATCCCTTTCTCTTCTATTTTGTTGTTTGTGTATAGGGACACAATACACTTTTGCCTATTGATTTGAGCCTCTTTCAATCTTCAGATTTTCTTTCACTCTACTTTCTTCTTATAAATTATGTTTTTCTAATTGTTCCATCTAGCACTACTAATACTATGTCGAACAGTTTGGTGAGTGTGAACATCTGTCTTGCATATCTTATACTAGTGTAAAAGCTTCCAGCTTGCGGGCCCTCCCTGTGGTGCAGCAGGTTAAAGCACAGCACTAAGAAGCTTAAGCCAATTCTGCATGAGTTCGATCCCCGGCTGCCCCGGAGGTGACCACATGGCGTGGCAGACCTCTCCTGACCCACTTGCTGCTCCCCTCAGCAGTGTACTTCATCGATCTGCCTGTTCTGCTCCCCACTCTGTCCCTGGTGAATCCTCTCATCCTCCGCATCTCTGGCCTATACCCCAGTTCTGTATGAATAAATAAATAAATCTTAAAAAAAAAAAGCTTGCAATATCAACTATGCTGCTACTGTTGTGTAATCATTTATGGTGTTTATTATGCTGTGGATATTCCTTCTATACCCATGTTTTGAGAATTTGTCATAAATAGATGTTGCATTTGTCAATTTGTCCTTTCTGTACCTGTTGCTATTATATGTTTTTTTTCCTCTCTTTTTTGTTGATATGGTAAATTTAACTGGCTGAATAGCATTTATTGAACCATCCATTTATCAATTGAGTAAGCCCCATTGGTCTGGAGATATGATACTTGGCGAGAAAGGAAGAATGAAAGATACAGGCATCTTGCTGAAGTATGGCCTGGAAAGGCCAGGAGACCCAGAAACGGCAATCTTACTAAATGCATTTGTGGGCTCCTTTGGCCACTACAGCTGTGGTATTGAGTATTGCTTGTTCGGTGCTGTCCTGCAGCATTTAGGCAGGACCAAGGAACATCTTCGTTGTATACATTGCTGTGTTTGTGAATTGGATCCTGGCCTATAATTTGGCTGCCACATGTCCACAGTGGCAGGAAGACCTCATCTTAGACATGGGGACTTGTATTCAGCTGCTCCTCAGTGGCAGGAAGACAACATCATTATAACAGTCTTTGTGCAGGACCGGACAGTACTGGACACGGCTTCGGATAAAGTGGACAGCCATTATTAGTCAGTAACCTTTGTATTTCCTGGCTTGTTAAATAAATTCCTTTGTTGGTTTTTTCTTTTTAAAGATGTATTTATTTATGCATACAGAACTGAGGTACAGGCCAGAGGTACAGGGGATGAGACACCAGAGACAGAGTGGGGAGCAGAACAGGCAGATGTACTGAAATACACTGCTAAGGGGAGCAGCAGGCGAAGAACTCAAGCAGTAACTGATGAAGTATTTGGGCAGAAAGCCTGAGCCAGTGTATTGTCCCATATGACCCTGCGTCATCTTACAAATCAAAGGATGTCTTTAAAGTTATCACGTTGGTTTTTAATACCTTTAGTGAATGCATAAGTGTGTTTAGATCAGAATTAGTTCATAGCCAACAAGGAAAAGTAATTGACTTGCTCTTAGTGTTTTATGGATAATATTAAAGAACCAGGCCTTACGTGGAGTCATTTGTATTAAGCCTAAAGTCAGAAATGGCAGTTTAAAGATGAAAGTATTTGAGGTCAATATTTAAGCAGATGAAATAGTAATCTCTAGCAAATATTAAACACTCAGACTTGTGGTAACTTGAAACTTTAGAACCAGTTTAAATTTAACAGTGAGTTTAATAAAAGGATTACTTCAAGCAATTCCAGATTGAATGAATTGGAGGATTCTACCCATAAAAGAAACTGCAACAGCTATTGGTAATTCCTTTTTGAATTTGGTCCATAGATTATTTTGTTTTCATTTGCCTTTATTTAAATATTTTAACAAATGTCTTTATCAAATTAAGGATTTACTAATTTTAGTGGTGAGAACTCATTGGTATCTAGAACATTCTAACTAAAATTATTAAACATTTAGAATTATCATTGGCTACTTATTTCAAGAGAACTAAAGAATGGAATGTCTATCAGAAAAGTATGTGCTATATGACCTAGAAAAAAAATGTGAAGAATGAGTCTTAAAAATTATGACAGGTAATTTGTGAGCCTTCCAATCAAAAAGAGTGAGGGTATAACAGTATTTAAAATATCCTATAATCTAGAAAGGAGGAAATTATGGTGGAATAGCAATGCTGGTACATCAAGTAAATAAATGTGTGAGTTTTGTGTTCCCAGGTGAAAGATGTATAGAGAATAGACATTTTTTGAAAGCCTAAGAAAATAGTTATTTTTGGAATGGAATAATGTAAGTAATTTGAAAGCTAAAAGGTTTAGGATGTTTGAGAGGAATCAGAAAAATGAAACTTTCTCTCATCAAATGTCTAAGTTAATTGTTTTTCTAAAAATTAAGATTTAATATCAGTAGTATACTTACATTAAAACCAAACTTGAATTTTCTTTGATCTGCTAACAGGGACAAAAGTATTCTTAATCTGGTCAATTTAGTGGATTATCTAAGAAAATTCTGATGCATTAAGACTTCTGGTTAGCCAGAAAAAAAAATTTTTGTCCTCTCAGCATTGCCGAGTTTTGTCAGAGCAATATCTGAATACCCTGCCACGTTTGCAGTCCCTTATTTTCTTTTTCCTCCCTCTATCCCAAAATATACTTTTTAGCATTTTCTCTGGGGCTATCTATCCTCACCAGCAACTGCATCCATAGGGAGCCTTTTGATTTCTGTCACAGGCTGCAATTCTAGCATAAGGTATTTTCTACTCCTACTAATAAAATCCAAACAATGATATACCTCTATCAGTCAGGTGAGTTTAATGTTTTTTTATAAAGGGATTAAATGCTTTTTCTTAGAGCACACATTAATTCTTAAGAATTTTTAACTGAGACCTTCCTGGTGGCACAGCAGGTTAAAGCACAGCACTAAGAAGATAAAGCCACTTCCGCATGAGTTCCATCCCTGCCTGCCCCGGAAGTGACCACATGGCGCGGCAGACCTCTCCTGACCCGCCCGCTGCTCTCCTCAGCAGTGTACTTCATCCATCTGCCTCTTCTGCTCCCCACTCTGTCTCTGGTGATTCTTCTCACTGCCCCTGCACCTCTGGCCTGTACCCCAGTTCTATGTGCACAACTAAATAAATCTTAGAAAAAAAAAAAAGAATTCTTAACTGAAACATAGTTTTAACCCAGTGTTTTAGAGCAGGAATTTGTTTATCAATTCTCCTTTTAAAATTGCTTTTTCAGGCAGAACTTATAAAAAAATACTTGCTTGATCAAATGTTTTGACAGACATATTTAGGTTTGCTTGCTTCTTATTTATTTTTACTGTCTATTTGGATTTCTTTCGTATTTCTTTTTTTATAAACTTAACTACCTCATTTACTTGTTTTGAGTCATGATAAATCATCCCTTAAGGGATTTTTAAGGAAAATCATTTTAACTTCCTAGTATCTTAGTTTCCTCATCATAAGATTAATGATAACAATAATACCTCTAGCACACTGGGTTTTAGTGAAGATTTAATTGCTGCCAGGTTATTTATATAGGAAATGGACAGGTCAGTGGTGCTTGGTACATGTTGAAAACTCAGTAACTGCCAATCATTATTCTAAAAAAACAAATATCTAAAAAATATTTTTCTGTTTTTAATTGTAGGTATATAATTATGGACAATACAGAAGACTATATATTTAAATTTCAAGGTTATAATTTTCAACGGTCTTTACTTAATCTTGAACTAATAAATAACCTAGATGATTTTGAAATTAGAGATGATGATGTCTTCATTGTTACATATCCAAAATCTGGTGAGTCTGGAGACTGAGGATCTGTTATTTTCCTTCATTCTGGTTTGGTGACACATGTGCACAAATCCCTTTGCCAGACAGTGTCATGTACTGTGTGTATCCACATTGTGTGGGAGACCTTAGCTTCTATATGAGAAAAACAGAGTTAAAGGGCTTGAGCTATTAATTTGTTAATCTGACTAAAGACGAAAATCTAACTAAGGAAAACACAGAAAACTATAAATAGGAAAATTGTACAAAGCACAGGAATAAAAGAAGGTGCTGAAAATTAATGTGAATTACTATTATAGGATATGAACAATCACATCTCTTCAGAGAGAAGAACAAACTAAGAGATCTAATTTTCTTTTTAATTTACAGGACAGTTGTGCAAATTCAGTGGGCTAGATGGTTAAAAAAATTAAAACACCATTTTTGAGAATAATGTCATTACTATGGATATATATCAATTAAAATTAATTCAGGGTTCATATGTGATTATTTGTTTTTACAGGTACCATCTGGACTCAGCACATATTAACCTTGATTTATTTTGAGAAATATCGCAATAGAACAGAAAATATGACTGTAAATTATAGAACCCCCTACTTTGAATACAAAAAAACGAAAATAGACTTTCTCAACAGACCTTCCCCTCGGCTTTTTTGTTCCCACCTGCCTTATTATTTAGTACCAAAAGGTCTCAAGAGCAAAAAAGCTAAAGTAAGTATAGAAATAACTCATGGACTTTTTGTATAAACAAAAGTACCTTTTGATTATTGTTCTATATTCTATTCACACAAATTAATTCAAGTGTGATTATTATATATTTATGATATAATAATATGGAATTGTAACTATAACCATAAAATGTGTCACTGCTTGTATTGTTTGCAGTTCGATTATAAAATATGTAGCCTAAATTCTTTGAGGTGCATAAAATCCTGTTGCAATGTTCAATAAGATTTTTTTATGTATTTTTTTTTAAAGATTTATTTATTTGTGCATACAGAACTGGGGTACAGGCCAGAGGCTCAGGGGCGGTGAGAGGCTTCACCAGAGACAGAGTGGGGAACAGAACAGGCAGATCGACGAAGTACACTGCTGAGGGGAGCAGCGGGCGGGTCAGGAGAGGTCTGCCACACCATGTGGTCACCTCCCGGGCAGGCGGGAATTGAACTCATGCGGAAGCAGCTTTAGATTCTCAGTGCTGTGCTTTAACCCGCTGCGCCACCAGGGAGGGCCTATGTATTTTTTTTTAAGATTTATTTATTTTGCATACAGAACTGGGGTACAGGCCAGAGGTACAGGGGTGGTGAAAGGACAAACCAGAGACAGAGTGGGGAGCAGAACAGCCAGACTGACGAAGTACACTGCTGAGGGGAGCAGTGGGAGGGCCAGGAGAGGTCTGCCGCAGGCCATGTGGGTCACCTCCAGGGCAGGTGGGAATCGAACTCATGTGGAAGTGGCTTTAGCTTCTCAGTGCTGTGCTTGAACCTGCTGAGCCACCAGGGAGGGCCACGACTATGCATTTTTTAAGTTGTATTGATAAAGGTAGGTTGCAGCAAATGTATAAATCATATTACATAAGTATTGTTATAATTCTTTGTGCTTTTTTTCTTTTACTGAGTTTTCATAGCAGTGGATTTTTTCAGTGATTTTTTGATAATCCCTTCATGCATTCAATAGCCTAGCAACTTAAAGTTTTTTTTTCTTTTATTAAAACCAATTTTTTAATGTATACAAGAACTGGGGTATAGGTCAGAGGTGCAGAGGCAGTGAAAGTATTCACCTGAGACAGAGTGAAAATAGAACAGGCAAACTGACTGAAATACACTGCTAAGGGGAGCAGGGGTGAGGCAGGAGAGGTCTTCTGGACTATGTGGGTCACATCCCCGTCCCTGGAAAGAACTATGCTGTAGTGACTGCAGACAGCTTCATACTGCTGCAATTTAACCCCTTGCACCACAGGGAGGCCTGCAACTTACAATCTTAAAAAACATATAGAGTGCTCTCCCTGTTGGCCATAGTGGGTTAAAGCACAGCACTGCAAGCGAGCTGCCGCTGCTTCAGTCGAGTTCAATCCCTGGCCCCGGAGGTGACCCACATTGCGCAGCAGACCTCTCCTGACCTGCTTTTCTGCTTCCATGTTCACCAGTGATTAGAATTATCAGTCTTCACTTAGTTTTTTCTATGACAAAGTATGATTTCTCATATTTTCTCCCATTAATGTTTCCTTTCAGACTTTCATTTTTATCAATCTGGTAATTAGAAAATGGTATTTCAAATGGATCTTAATTTACACTGCCTTAATCACTAATTACTAAGCACATTTTGAAACTTATATTGACAATAATTATTTCTTACTGAATAAAATTACTATTTCTCTTGTCCAGATTCTTATTTGATTATCTTTTTCTTATTGATATTTCATTACCTGTAATGTCTGTTACTTCTCTCACTTTTTTTTTATTGCAATTTGAGGTATATTTTGATTATCAATACACTTAATTCAATGTAATGAGGTTTTATTTTATTAAAATTCTATCTTATTTAGGAATTCCTTCTGATCATCAAGGCCAAAACTATATTCTTTATATTTTGAATGTCAAAGTTTTCCTTTCATAGTTAAATCCTTAATCCATTTATATATTTTTTGGTTTTATGTCAGGCAGATATTTTGCTTGTGTATGTAAAATAATATGTACCAAAATCAAATCTAGATGTATTTTTCCTTATTCAATATTCCCAGTTTTCCTTGAATATATTTTTAACATCAGCTAATGCACTAAGGATGATAATTAAAACTGTCTATATGGGCTCTCCCTGGTGGCGCAATGGATTAAAGCACTGTATCATGAAGTTCTCTGAAGCCACTGCAGCATGAGTTCAATCCCTGGCCAGGGAGCTGACCCACATGGTGTGGTAGACCTCTTCTGACCCAGCTGCTCTCCTCAGCAGTGTACTTTGTCAACATGCCCCTGTTCTCCTTACCACCCTGTCTCTGGTGAATTGTTTCACCCACCACACCTTTGGCATGTATCGCAGTTCTGTAAGCATAAATAAACAAATCTTTTTAAAAAACCCTGTTATATATGGAAGGTAATTTCCAGTATCAATCACTTTACAGGTAAATAAATTCAGAATTTTCCCTTTATCTTTGCATTTGGGAAATGTCATGTTATTAAATTAATGCATTACAACAGATTATGTACTGGCAAAAAATTGGTACTGCTAAATTTCCATTGCTAGTATACTATATGAGTAGAAAGTATAAAGCAGACTGAGTGGAATCTTTTATGATACATTCATATAATGCAATATTATATAGTGTTAAAAAGCCTGAATATATATAAAATGAAGAATTGCTAAAGTTATTTCATTTTTTTTCTGCAGATTATATATATCTACAGAAACCCGAAAGATGTTTTGATCTCATATTATCATTTTTCAAATTTTTTTTCTGGATTTGAACCCTCACAAAGCATAGAATGTTTCATAGAAAGATTCCTGGATGGAAAAGGTAACTGTGAATTTGTTTATTTGGCAATAAGTTTTTGAAATAATTAACTATTAAGCTACAAGTCTTTATTTAGGAAACATTTTGGACAATTGAGAAGGAATGATAAAAGGCAAAATGCATATGTAATTCTTGTTAGTGTAATGTATCACCCTTGGCCTTTTGATTTTTACCAGGACTGGTTGGTCATGTCTACGTTGCAAAGACATATTGTTTTGGACACGCTGTGGCATATCGTAGCAGAATATCAGAATCAATCTATTCAAAACATTGAGATCCCAAAGCAGGTCCCTATGTTCCAGAAAAGCAGATATCCATGGAGGGCTTTGATTTATCTTCTGGGCAAGCTGTGAGGGTAGCTACCACAGAGAAGGTTACATTTTAATTCCACAGATATTCTAGGTTTCACATTACTAAGGTGATTATATTTCAGTTTTAGCCTGTAATTTTTAAAGCTTTATTTTACAGTGCTCTTTATATGTGTGAGCTCTTGTATTAAAATAAAATATAAAGAAAAATAGACAATAAAGGCAGAAATGAAGACATGCTTTAATGTAGAAGAGGTACAGGAATGTACTTAACTGAGAGAAATGGCAAAATTAGATTTGGGGGCTTACTTTGCATTACCACAATCTGACAGACACAGAGACATTTCAAAACAGGCTTGTATTGAATCATGAAATAGTTCCCTCAGAACGCCATTTTAAAAAGGCAGCACAGATGTGTATTGGAGGCGACTTTTCCAGGAGAGAAAAGAAAGAGTACAGATTGTCTTATATAAGTGGAACATATTTACCTTGTTATTAATCTCTTCCCAAACCCCCAGTGGTAGGAAGTCTTTGGTTCGACCACATCAGAGGCTGGTATGAGCACAGACATGATTTCAATATTCTCTTCGTGATGTATGAGGAGATGAAAAAGGTAAGAGAAGAAGCTTTGTTCCATGCACCATTACTTTGAAACCTTTTCTTATCTTGCTTCAGTTATCCACAATCTCCTATTTGGTTTCATATTAATTACTTCTCAGACTTCCTGTTGGGTTCTAATTTTCTGCCCATCCCTTATTCACTGTTTTTCCCTAGGAATCTTATGTCATTGCACAGTCATATTTTGTGATTCATCATTATGTAACTCAAATGTCTAGAATAGCTGGAGCTATAAGAGAAAGGGTGATATGGAGCTTGGTGATAAAGCCACTAAGAAAAGAAACTTGTGTGATCTGTAAACTGTGTTCTTCCTGTGTATTAAAGAAAGTCTTGAAACACAGATTTCAGGTGAAATCACATCATTACATGCTCAGGTCCTATGAAAACTGTGTTTAGCAAACTTTATAAACCAGGTAAGACACATTTAGAATTTGGTATTGTTCTACTCTGTGGTATGATGATTTGCAGCATATTATTTATGAAAAATTAGTATCTCATATGTAGGGATTAAAGCATCAGTAAAAGAGAATTGAATCCTGTACCACAGAGCTTAAATCTCAGAGGTATGACAAGCAAGTATATATAATTAGGAACTATTTTAATCACATAAAGGAATTTATCACTGAAAAGAAATTTCTCTTTTCTCAGTGACATTTCTTTCTTTCCTTCTGAATAGGAACAAATGTTTTTTCTTCTTGACAAGTGAAAAGTGTTCTAACTGCTCCCAGACACTCTTAATGTCTCTTTTCTTTGAGTGCCAATTTGCACATGATATATTTGTCTTTATGTTTTCCAAAACCTCCACACATTTATTATGCTAAAATACCTGTAACAAAATTTATAATTTTAACCAGTTTAAAAATACAGTTCTGTGGCTCCAAGCACATAAATACTGCTGTACTTGCATATCGCATCCATCTGTACAAATTTTTTCATCTTACAAAGCAATAACTTTCTATCCCCCAAATTAAATTTTCCCAATTCATAGCACCCACCACTCTATAATATGTTGCTATGATTTTGAATACCACAAAGGCTGATAAGAGTGTAATAGGACATTGGTTTTTTCCATTTTCACGATATTTTTAATTAACATTTTGTTGTCAAGAGTCATCCATGCTGTAGCCTATGTAAAAAACCCTCCTCCCAGCTCTCACCCCCGCCACTTTAAGGCTAAATACTACTCTACAGCAATTAAATGTCACATTTTCCTTCATGACTCATCTGTGGAGATGCCACATAGATCATTTCCACATTTTGGCAAATCGCAAACACTGCTGCTATCAGGGTCAGTACAAAGGTGCCAATGAGTTTTTTGTTGTTGTTGTTTTTATAATAGTTTTTTTTTACATCATTTTGTACATTTTTTTTTATCTCAATTGTAATCTCCGTGGGTTTCCCATCTCTGAGTAGCCCGTGTGCCATCACCATAGTCCCATGCACTTCCCTCTGCCCCACCCCCACCCCGTTTTTGATCCCATTCCCCACTCCACTTCCATAAAATGTTTCTGGTATATGACTGTTCAATATTCTTATTATTTTCTTGCCTGGTCCATTATACCCCTGCTATGAGCGAAACCATCTGGTATTTTTCTTTATCTTTCTGGCTTATCTTACTAAGCATGATCTTTTCCAGCTCCATCCAAGTTG